GCATTGCAGTGTTTGACAACATCTATAATTTACCTCGGTTGACCAATCTGACGGAGCTATCGATCTATTTACAGTATGGATTGAATGTCGCTGATATGGAACTGTTGGCAAACGGTCTTGTGAAACTTCAACTTCTTCACTATAGAGAATGTAAAAACGTCGATTTCATTTTACCATTCGTTCGTCGCTCGATGATGTTGAAGGAAATTAGAGTGGATTTAAGGAACGGTGGAGCTTTGAATTTGAAAATGTTGAATGAAGAACGCACCAAGTTGGCCGGAGCACGAAAAGTAATGATTTATGCAACTGACAATATTTTCTTGCCCACCAAATGGACGACCAAAAACAACGACACCAATTTGAGCTTAATCGAGATTCGACGTTTGGCCCCGTACGAATGGCCTGACTATTGATCTAAACAACAATTTTTTGAATTCTCTACGTAATATTTGAGCTAAATTTCAAATCTATTCCCAATACTTCACAAATGAGCTAGAAAACACTCGAATCTCTTAAAATACCATAAAATTAAGCCATAGTTGTAATAAAAAAACTAGATTATTTGATAGAATCATAATTAATGTTAGTTATGAAAAACGGATAAAGAAACATTTCCATATTTCTTAGAAAATTCTTCAATAAAGTGAACTCAAATCAACCAAAAGTCTTTATAGTATATGTTTTACTTTTCCGCACACACACTATTTCATTTATTGCAATAAGTACAAAATACTTCTTTCAAAGTTCTCACTGTAACGCAGTACTGTAAATCTGGATAAAATGTCTTACATCCGAAAGATGAACTTTTCCGCACTGTGATCCACAACATGCATTTATTACAAATCTTTTACTCAAAGAATTCACGAGAAAACTGAATCTGACATTAGTTTCACGATACAAATGATTTTCGACACACTTTTCATACAAAAATGACTAAAAATGGGAATTTTTGTATGTAATCAATGCCTATATGATATCGTAATCATGTGAAAATTTGCAGAGGTTATTTTTTTCACAAAAAGTTAACATTCTGAAAGTTTGAAGAAATTTCAATGCATATTAACCCTGTACGCTGGACGCAAAAATCTGTTAACACGATAACTTTCAAACAAGAAAAGAAATTCAAAGTCTGACTTCACAAGATGATTGGGGGTGCCGAGGAATAGAAACCATTAGATTTTGAGCGACTTTGGTTGATAGAGTGAAGTGTCATGTCTGGTGTGATGCCCATGGGCATCCATGGGAAAAATTCAATTTTTCTTCCAAAAGTGATATTTAATGTATACTTAAACACTCAAAAATGTGTATTGGGGGGTTTTTTGGTACGAGAAAACCGAATATGACGTCACACTTTTCATACAAAAATTTCAAAAAAAAAAAAAATGGATTTTTCTATGGAAGCCATGCCTGTATGATATCGTGATGAGCTGAAACTTTGCACAGGTTATTTTTATCACTCAAAAATACTATTCCGAGAGTTTGAAGACAGCAATAAAAATAAATCTTGGAATTGAAAGTAAAATCATTTAAAAAAAATCATGAACATAACAGAAGTACAGCGGATAAAATAAATCGAAATACGAGCGTACATAGTCCTTCATATAGAATGCTTCTTTCACATAGACACGCGTCTTCCATGCGTCGAGCGTATCGCACTAGCACTGCTAGCCAGCAAATGCTGGATAGCACATTACTCTAAGTAAGTCTTAGTGGCAATAGCAATTAACGAATCACTGTTGAAAAATCGAACAAATATTATTTTGAACTTTCTTAATAAAATACGCAACTACCACCGTGCGGAAAAGTTCGTCTTACTCCCGCAAAACTCTTTATTTTTCATTGAAAATTTATTAAAATTACATTTGACACTTTAATAGATCTTGGCTCCAATCGTGAAGTTATTTTCTCGTACAAAATCTCTAATAAACTACATTCCACAGAATTTTAATTAAATTAGGTACAGAGTACAGATCTCTTTACTCAGTTTAATCAGTGATCACTTACTCAACATTAGATCCACTATAAGTTGGCGCCCAATCATCGATATCCAATAATCCAATAAAAAGAAGAGGGGAAAGAATAATTATATCAACCAATTAGCAAGGTTTTGATAAAAAGAATGAGAAAGTGACACCCGAAACCAAATACAAGGCCATACGCACATCATTTGGTCCAAAGAAAATAAATTTGGTGTTGTATATGGGCAAGTATAATGGTCAGAAGCCTTTTCAATGCTGTGATTGTACAATTCACTCGAAAGGCCTCTCTCGATCTGCACACAGAGTTCCATGAACGAATTCGTAATGGTTCATCTTTATTCCATTGTTCGTGTTGGATTCAACCGAAATATCAATAGCGATGATCATCAAATGAAATGCAAACGCGAATTTACGAATATTATCGTTGTGGTAAGATCATGTGGATGTCAAAAGTCCAATTTTTTACAGCAAATGCCCATTCACATAATCGGTGAGGTTCCATATTAATGTCAACAATGCTCAAAGACTTTCACTCTTGCATTCACTTCAATTAGCATTAGTGCGAATTGTGTTTCAAAGGATTTAATTGGAAATCAAATTAAAACGAACACTACAAGCGCATCCATAAGAAGAATTACTAATCCATTGTTTTAAATTAACATCGAAAAGGCAAAAAGAAAATCAAATCTCAATCAAAATCAGAAAAATTCTAACATCTTTAAAAATTGAGCTCACAATAATGCTTCATTTGAATGAAACTGAACAACCGAAAAATGTCATTTGCAATTGAGAAAAATTAAGATTTCTATAATTTTCTTCATTGTTTATGCGATTTATTGACACGTTTTTTCTTCTTCGTATTTAAAAAGCGTAAGAGGTGGAATTTTATTTTGTGTTGGTAAATTCAACTCCACCACCATTTTAGCGACATTTGCTTTGCATCGTCTATTGAAATGAGATCAATACGCGTTAAAAAGAAAGAGATGCCCAACCAATATGATGATATAAAACACACCATTGTTGACTGTCACTATCTCGCTCAAGCAGCGCTGTGTACAACTACAACCTTAGATCATTTCTATGAAAACTAGGCGACGTTCTTTTTCCTGCGAACATTCAAACGAGAAACACGTCAAACAAGTTTGCTCATTTCTTTTTCGACGCCATTTTTTATGTAGCGAAAAAGTTCAGAATATTCCACATAAATTACAGTTTTTCATCGATTTGTATTGATTTTTTTCGGCAAAAATTACTACATTTACTGAAATATTTTCGGAGATTGGTATTATTAAAATAAACTTGTTGAAACAACGCGAATTTTGATCGGTCATCGGTAAGTACCGCATGGTCTGCTTTATTATTACAAATTACAATTTCAATGGAAGAAAAGATATAGTTCTTTTTAGCTATAATAGCGTATAATAGCCATCAATTGTTCAAAAACTTGAATGATTAATAGTCGGAAAGAATAAAATGGTTTTGGGTTGTAAAAACTGTTAATGAAATCTATATTTTTGTGAAAATGTTTCAAACTAATTGCTAGGTTGGTTCGATTTTTGTGAAAATTCAGAAGGGATACTGGCTATAGTTATAAGTTATGTAAAAATATGTAAGATTTACGAATATGACATTTTTTTGGCATAATTGAAGTCACAGCGCCTCGTTTGACCAAAAATTTCAATTTTCTCAAAATTTTCAACACATGTTAAAAACATTTTTTCTGGTTCGTAACGCTGCTAATTACGTGAAATAGACCACCAAAAGCGAGCAAAGAGAGAAAATAGGGTCTCAGCATGGCTGAAGATTTTTCAAAAAAATGACAAAATTTTAACAAAACAAAATTTTAACTCATTATTGAGGTGGTCTGATTTTACTGAAATTGTCCGACTCACCCTGTAACATTATCTGTGTGTTTTGTTTGATCAATACTTGCGATTCTACATGCCCGCCCTGCTCAAGAATTTTACAAAAATGTCGTGGATAATTATGTTATAACCAATATGTATTGGACTTCAATTATGTCAAAAAAATGTTATATTCGTGAATCTTACATATTTTTCCATAACTCATAACTATAGCCAGTATCCCTTTTGAATTTTCACAAAAATCGAACCACCCTATTAATCGCCATAGTTTCTTGTTCTATTTTCTATTCTCCTATTCAGTGCCATTCTCTGAGGAGCCAATTGTCATGGATCGTCCACAAAAAAAGCTAAAGTTATTGCACCCCGTCGGAGATGGTAATGAAGATGCTGACGCTGGTCCCTCAAATGAGGAATCAACACCAAAAATATTCAAGTTGAACACCGATTGCTTCGATGAAACATTCGAATATTTGTCGCTGAAAGATTTGCATTCATTTGGACAAACATGCAAGCGGATGAACAAAGTGGCCGGCGAATATTTCAAACGAAATTATTCATCGATTCAAACATGGTGCGAAATTGGCGGAATTTACACCAATTATTCGGACAAAGATGGATACAACCCCAAACGGATTAAAATATCGGGCTTTAGTGAATTCACACCAAACATTTCAATTGACGATGACGATCTCAGTTATATTCAACCTCATGTCAGTGAATTTAATTCAGTTAAACGCATTACATTCGACTATTCAATTATTGACAACGAAACAATTAAGTTTTTCGAACAATTATTGGGCCAACTAGAAATGGTGCTACTATTGAAATGTGCTATTGATGCTGGCCTTTACCATTTGATGTTGCAACACTGTGGAAAGTTGAAGAAGATTTTTGTTCGAGAGTGTAAGTTCAATGGCCATCCGATCGATGAATACGAGTGGCTGTTGCATACATATCCAAAGCTTGAGCATTTGCATCTTTCCGCTTATGAAGGAATTGGTAAAATTGAAGAACTATCGACATTTTTTGAGCGTAATCCAAATGTCCATCGATTTTCAACTGACTTTGATTTGATTTGGGACAATCGTGACGTATTTTCAAATTCCAAAATTAAGTTGGATATATTGGAGCTCGGCGGCTCACGTAGTCTACTTCGGACAAATCTGCAAGAGTATCTGAAGCTATTAAACGGACTTCATGACCAAGGCTTTTATAAACGAATCTACATTGACATTGGTGAACTAGACATGGATTTAAGTACGTTTTTGGTTTCACTCAAAGGGATGGAGTCACTATGCATTGCAGTGTTTGACAACATCTATAATTTACCTCGGTTGACCAAT